GTGTGTGTGTGTGTGTGTGTGTGTGTGTGTGGTTCAAGCTGAAATCTACTGCTGCGATGCCAGTTCTTTCATGCAGACCCCACATAGCCCTGAGCTACCAAGCTGTGAAAACACGCTGCAAGTTTGTTGGTTCTCAGTGGCTAATAAGGTGTCATTGTGCGGTTGAGCTGTCTGATGTCCCGCGGAGTCAAATAGGATCACGTGAACAAATCTATTACACATGTGCATAAACACACACACACATCCAGCTCTATGTACACAAACTCATTCCACAGAAACGCGCCCTTTTCATGAGATAAGTCTGCAGCGTTTTCTGCATTTTCTCAAACTGTACTCTTCCTGTTTGCACCACGATTAGAACCTGCGACATCAAAGCACTYAGCTTTCAAAGGCCCTCTTTTACAGCTAGCTTCAGGAGTTCTGGCTCCTATGTGTCCAGACAGCTTATAAAGGACTGTTTTCATCATCACCCCCTCAATTCAACACCCCAAATCCTCCTGTGCTGCAACCGGGGCCTCCGCTATCCCAATGTCTGGATCTCTCCTAAGAACGAGACTTTTCGAGATTGCTGCCGAGGGGGAAGAAATGTTGTCATCCAAACTCTGCTGCTTGACCTTGTTAGTCTCCAGGGTTGATTAGAGGCTATCTGGTGCAGCTCTTTGAAGAACGCGCTTCTGTCTTTTCTCATCCCGTGCAGTTGATCCATCTTGGCGAGCTGGCACCGGACCCACTGTGGTTCGACTTTAATGGAGTGAACATGAATATGACTTGTGGGAGACTCGTTCATGTGGAGGACTGTGGTTTGTTATTTCAGCAGATATGAGAGGGCTGATAAAGGAAGGCTGCCGTCCGAGGCCCCCGAGCAGAGAAAATAGACAGGTCTCTGTGGATCCGGCTCTGCCTCGGTGAGGCTGAGTTGTGTCTGCCTCGATGTGACCTCCGGGAGGGCTGCTTAATGACGCTCCGGGGTCACTCCTGACTGMTGTGTCAAGTTGCATGAGTACATGTACATTTTTGCCTTTACAATCACACCCACTCACTGCACTTCGATAAGGACTGAGTTTCTTCATCAGTTATTTGCTAATGATCTAGKTTGAAAGAAAAGACGACTTCAATCCCAGTGGAAAACAGTCAACACTGTTTATCTCCACCTTGTGTTTTTTCCTGACAGTCTGTAAGTGACTGATGAAGGTTTGGTCTTTATTAAAGATCAACACTGGATGAGCTGTCTTGTGATGACATCATACTTTTGTGAAGCAGCTGTGTTTTCTCATAGTTACTTCAGCAGCCGAGAGTTGAACTTTACAAAAAAAAAGAGAAGAAAGAAAGAAAACTTCAAAAAATGTGAATGTACTTTTTAGTTAAGGCATTGTTGGCTTTTTAAAAGTGAAATTAAGATGACATCAAATGTTATAGCTTTTACTGCAGTTAAACAACACAAAAAATATTAATTTAACACTTGGAAAATTATTTGAGAAAAAAAGGGAAATGATTTGGTTTGCCCTAAATCATCTGAGATTCCAAAAAACATGTTACACAACTAAAACTCAATTACGCCCACTTCAACATGGCAAATCAGTCAATAACTATTATTATACTGAACTTGTGAAAGAGCAAAAAAAGTTAACAAATCTCTGCAATTAAATGATTTTCTTTACAACAGAACACAAAATATCCATATTCACCCATGGTCACATCCTGTTTTTACTAGAATTTATTTACTTTTAAGCATAAAATTGAAAATAATACAATGTAGGCAACCATTCAGAGCTGCGTGGGGACAAATATTTAAATATGGTTGAGAATATGTGATGTGTGCTTTACATGTTAAATATGACAGAAGGACAGTTATCGTTCTTCTGTTTGTTGTTTGCGTTCTTTGAATTTCACAGTTGTTTACAGTGTGACTTCACTATGTGCGCTCCATATGTGAACTCTTCAAATAATTAGTGTGGACAAATCAGTTTAAAAGCAAAAATACCCTCAACCCAGCAWGACTTTACAAAATTATTTACTAAAACTAAGAAAGTATTGCAGAGAGTAGACTTCAAAACACTTCTGTTAGTTTCCACTGAATGGCTTAGCACCAAAATACATTAAAGGGGCAATATCATGTAAAATCTACTTTTTTGAGTTTTATATCATGTTATGTTATACTCTCATAAAAAACATGCCCAAAGCCTTGCTCTGACTCATTCATGCATGTTTGAGAAATCCTACAGTGTTTGTAGGAAGTCATGCTGAGGAGCAAAATGATAGGTGGGGACCAGAAACACATTTTAAGACCAGAAACACCTCTGGAACGTGTCTTTAAGCCGAATTTCCTTATCCCGGAGCACACCTCCCCACCCCACACACCCCGCCCATGACTCCTGCAGGCTTTCGGGTCAAAGTGAAAGTGAAACTTAATTGTCTGCTGAGCTCTCAGCAGTAGTTCTCACTCAGTGAAGCTTTTTTCAGATTAAAAATACCTTTGAGGAAATGAATTTTCAGATGCCAAGTAAACTGCATCATGGCAGCCCGACACGAGCGCACCCCCACCCCCCACCCACCCCTGCACCGAAATGGGCGAGACAGAAGCGAAGGTGGTTCTTAAAGAGACAGAGGCCTATTTCAAGGCGTTCAGAAGAGGAAGTGATGAGAAGATAAGTTTATTTTCTATTTAAACATAAAAATTGCATTTTAATAACAGCTAATGGTGAAATAGATACTTTATTATGGTATAGTATTTAAATATATGCATGAGAAACACATAATATTGGCCCTTTAAAGGAAGATGCTAAATGACTAAAATGCTCTCACTGACACNCACCGAAATGGGCGAGACAGAAGCGAAAGTGGTTCTTAAAGAGACAGAGGCCAATTTCAAGGCGTTCAGAAGAGGAAGTGATGAGAAGATAAGTTTATTTTCTATTTAAACATAAAAATTGCATTTTAATAACAGCCAATGGTGACATACTGTAGATACTTTATTATGATATAGTATTTAAATATATGCCTGAGAAACACATAATATTGGCCCTTTAAAGGAAGATGCTAAATGACTAAAATGCTCTSACTGACACATTTATGCACCAGATAAATAAATAAGAAAAAACTTTGTTTAAACTTTCCCTATTATTTTGAAGCAGGCGCTCATCAAGCTGTCACATAAACATGAGGTATCTCTGCTCTGGCTGYGCAAACCTGAATACAGGAGGGCAGAAGTACTGCAGGCTCACCTGTGAGGTACAGATCAGCACCATGGATAGAGACAACAGCCAGGTGAGCTCAACTCAGACATCAGCCGCTACGTTTACTGGATGAACATCAATGATTTTGCCATAATAAACATAAAAATACTGAACAAAACAGCTCCACATCTCATTCTGAAACAAAACCTCACCCTCAGGGCTCCGAGAAGATGTAAATGGAGGTTTCACCGGTGTTGTGACCTCTGACCACTCTCCCCCCCATTTCCTGAGCCAGATGAGGCTCCTGTGGACCGTGGTCTTCTCAACCTAAACAAAGTAATCCTCCACTAAACAAGATGGATATTGTATCAGCAGCCTGGTTGAAGCCACAGAGCTCYTCTCATCGCTGAATGGAGGAAAATCACTTCCTGTTTGCACAAAGACTCATTATATCACACAGATAGGTGTGTTTTAATGTATATTATGATTTATATAAAAAACATGCCCTCTTGTGGGGAATATGGAGCGTGCATGTAAATAAAATGTAGGATAAAGTTGAAGTTTTGTTCTCAGTTGAAAATACAAATTTAACAGCTGAGACGTCAAAGCTACGGAAGAGGATTAGGGCCACTGAAAAAAATAAAAAAAAAAGAAATTCAGACTTTAATCTCAAAATTCAGCTTTTTTTCTTTTCTCAGGACTCTGAGGAAATAAGGTCAGATTTCTGAGATTAAAGTCAGAATTCCTTTTTTTATTTTTTCAGTGGCCCTAATCCTCTTCCGTACCAAGCAGAGTTTTAAAAGGAAATTTAAAAAAATGATGAAGATTATTCATGTTGCTTCAAAAAAAACAAATTCATAGACTTTTAGTTTTTGTTTCCTCCTCAGCCTGTTTACGAAACTCGATTCTTCCCTTTTTAACAAGCCCTATAGTGGGTTCAGATTGTTTACTATAACAAATATCTTTGCCAACTCCTTACAGAGAGTTTCTAACCGTTTCTCGGATCCTCCCGCCCCCCTTCGCCTCACGCAATCCCCCCTCTCAGCCAATCCGGGCCCTCTCCAAAAAGTTTACGCCGTGCAGCCTATAAGAGCTGCTTAAGTTTCTCAAGTAACAGAAAAAAAAAGTTAGTCCTCTGCAGGAGCACCCCCCMCCMCCCCCCCTTTCTTTATGGGTTCTTTGGTGCCTTCAAAAACCCGGCAGACCTTCAGGTGGCGCATCTCCCTGACTTCATGAGAGGGGCATAACCATCTCTTGGCAGGCCTTTCCTGGTGGCGATGTCTGAGGAAAACCTGGGGGAAGAGTCGGGCAGCTCCCCCGTCTCTCCTCGGGACAGCCTCAGCAACAGCGAGGGGGAGCCGGACAGGCAGCCCAAGAGGTCCGCGCGGAGGAGGAAGAAGAAGAGGACGAGCAGGAAGAACCAGGGGGAGGAGGACTCGGACAGCCCGACCCCGGGCAAGCGAGGCAAGAAGTCGGGCAGCAGCGGCGGTGGCAGCCCGCAGTCCCTCGAGGAGCTCCAGTCGCAGCGCGTCATGGCCAACGTGCGCGAGCGCCAGAGGACGCAGTCGCTGAACGAGGCGTTCGCGGCGCTGCGCAAAATCATCCCGACGCTGCCCTCGGACAAGCTGAGCAAAATACAGACGCTGAAACTGGCGGCCAGGTACATCGACTTCCTGTGCCAGGTGCTGCAGAGCGACGAGCTGGACTCGAAGATGTCGAGCTGCAGCTATGTGGCGCACGAGAGGCTGAGCTACGCCTTCTCCGTGTGGAGGATGGAGGGCGCCTGGTCCGTGTCCACATCTCACTAGTCTGGAGACATAAGTTGGGCCCGGACGGGTACGGAATGACCTGCATGGTGTTCAGAGCAAAGGGAAATACCTGTTTTTTTCCTGCTCATTTAACGCCGTGTTTCCTCCACAGGTGACTGCTGAATGCTTGATTTCTGAAGGGAAACTCTGGAGTCCAATGCTGGAAACATGGGATCACTACAAACTGAAGCTGACTGAAGCTGRAGACCTTCTGTGCAGAAAAAGGTCTCACAGCTCCAAAGCAGCCCGTTCTGAATGTTCAAATATATTTGTTTTATAATAATTGTATTTTTTCTGTTAAAATGCACGTGTCTGGACTTTATTTCTGTGGAGGTCAAAGTGCATCCTTGAAGTTTGGACTTTTTTTTCCTGTGAGGCTGTCAGCCGGTGGTGCAGCTGGCAGCTCACCCACTTGTGGATCGAACCTGTGCGAACTTCTTTTTGAAGTTTTGTTTTTTTCAAAATGCATTTATTTATTTATTGGTGAAAAGCCTGCTAACAGTGAGGAGTGGGTCCTGTGTCTGAAATG